AGTTCGTGTCGTAAACGTGATAAGTGTATACTCGTCTATGTGGGTATAAACACATGTTATAATGCGTGAATAGTAACGTTGGATAAAAAATTGTCCGGTATGCCTGAATTTCTACCGATGCATATACTATCCTCGCATTCCATACTCGTTGCACACTTGACACGACTTGGAATTCCTTCGTGAAAGCAATGTAGCAACTTAAGGGACTGGCTTACAGTGTGTAGAGAAGCATTCGGTATTTGCTTCTCTTTATTTCAATAAGGAAACAAAGATTTCAATAAGAAACGGAGATATACTTGCAATGTAACCCAAGTGATTGCGACGCAATGGAAACGATGTTTTGTAAACGCAAAATCATTTTCTTTGATACACAAGTGTATTTTTCTGAAGTCGTGTAATCTTTACAATGATTGATAGCGCTTGAGATAGATCGATTTTACGTATATTAAATTATCATTTAATTATCATATCATCTGATATAATTAGTATTCTATTGTAAGCACATTCTTTATATGATTCATTTATATATTTATATAAATATCAAGTTATAAATGGGATACATCAGCACAAAAAAGGTCTCTTTATATATCTTTCAATAAAATAAATCATTTTTGAAAAAAAAATTCAAATTCGTAAATTATAAATGAACAAAATTTTTATTTGATTATCAGATACAAAAAATGAAAAGTAAAAAATGAAACTCTAAAGTAAATGATCAAAGTGGCCATCTTGTGTCATAACGCATACATTCGTTTGAAATTTTTGGGAAAAAACAAAATTTTTTCTTTCAACTTTGACATCCTATACCTTTGAAACCAAGCTGCTTCAGATATATAAAGTTTTCGTCTTGAATTAGTGAGGAATTGCTTTTTAAAAATCCTCTTAGATCTTTTACTTAGCTATTACCTGTATTCGTATTGAAGATGCTGTAGATATATTCAACAAAATTATTTTTTAACTGCGAGAAGAAATGCCATCTATTGGATTAATCTCAAAATGTACAAATTAATATAAGAAACGTATGAAAATCTATAGGCTTATACATATTATACAGTGTGTAAGAAAAGAGAATGTATCCATCAATTATAATGTTTATCTAATATGTTTTTCAGTATGTAGTTTTATATGTTCATGAATTTTTATACATTTCTTGCATCAATTCAGATTAGGATATACCTTTATAAATAAATTCATAAATATGTATATCAAATCACAGATAATAATTACATACGTTTATCTAATATGTTTCTTACACCATATGATACTTATGTTTTAATATGTTTTAATATGTTTTTTATATCAATCTGTATTTATGAGGCGTATGTCATATTTCACTTATCCCAAAGAGTATTAAAAACATTTAAAAAAATGTTTATTTATTACAATTTTTAAACATACACTTATTATATAAAAATCATCA